TATTGATATTGATAATTTTTTTTTTCTTTTACCTTATCTACTTGTTAAAATATTATGTGTTGTTTTATCTAATCGTCAATATTTGTGGTTAGGGTTCTCGATGACGTCATTAGCGAGGCTCATCCACGCCGCCGCCATCTCCGCCCCTACGCTGCCATCGTTTGCTTCTTCTTTTTTTCTTCGAAAATTTTGATATTGAAATTGTGTTGGGTATCGCATAGGAAAATAGTTGTTTACGTCACTTTTTTAGTTGTTTTCGAATTATGCTATTTGTTTTAGTTGGTTTCGATAATTTATAGTTGGTTTTGATAATTTTTTATTTGATTTCGACAATTTGTAGTTGGTTTCGATATATTTTTAATTGATTTCGATATTTTTTTAATTGATTTTGATAATATATAGTTAGTTTTGATAGTATGTAGTTGATTTTGATACTTTTCGCAGTTGATTTTGATACCTAATAGTTGATTTCAGATTGGTAAACCTTGAATGGCACAATTTTTTAGTTATTTACCATAATTTTATATTGTGAAAAATAAAAAAGAAAATGAAAATAGTAGTTTTTAAGAAAATTTTGTATTTGAAAGAAAACAAAAAAAAAATTGCAAATAAAAAATATTCAAAATTAATTAAAATGTTTAAAAAATGAAATTTAGTTGATTTATGGGGAAAAACTAAAAAAAAAAAAGTTAATTTTTTTTAGTTTTTATTAGATTTTTTTTATTAATTTAATAAATAAAAAAATTAAAAAATAATATGCCTATAAATATAAAAATTCATCAAGTAGTGGATAATGGGCATTGAATAGTGGAGAGGGACAAATTTGAAATATGAAAAAGCCTGAAGCTACTACTAATACTGAAAATGAGGGTAGATACACTCTTACTTAAAAAGAAAAAGTAGAGGGAATTTTTACTAATATCCCCTTTTTTATTTTCATCATAACATCCTTTGTAGGGATGAAAACAAAGAAATATTTATTTCCGACAATCATCGTATATGATTCGCTAAAAAAAAACATCAACCTTCCTTGAACTACTTCCGCAAGCCTTGTCAATTTTTTCTTGAACAAATCACCATTATGCATGATTACATTACCTAAAAATATCAGTACAATCGAACAAATAAAATTAAATGATTCAACAAATCAGAATATGTGACCGAAGAATTTATTTCAAATTTATTTTTATAATTTAGATACGCTAGTGAAAAATTATTATAATTTCAAATGCGAAAAGTTAGTCATTATTTTTTAAGAGATGTTGAACTACTATAACAAATGCGAAAAATTATTAAATGACATGTGAATTTAAAATATTTGTACAAAACTTATTAAAAATACAATTGATAACTTCAGGTTAGGTGAGAACCACTCGTGCTCATTTATAACTTTATTTTCTATAAAATTATAAAAATGTAGTGTATTGAGTATGTAGAAATTACACCAACACTCATTATAAGAGTTAGTACCTAATATTTACCAATATGGTAAAAGTCTAAGGTTTTAGCATTGCGCCTAAGTGTATCAATAATATTTCGGCTTTGAACTCTTTTTTATGTCCCAGGTTGTGTGTCAAACTGTACTACAGGGTATTGTAATGAAATTCTACAATATATTTAATGTATTATAATTATAACTATTACATGATATTCATATAATGACAGGCAAAAGAAAAGAGATTTTCACATCGAATGTAGTTGATAACAAATACACGATATTTACATATATTCAAATAATAAAAATATTATAGACATGTTATTGAAAATATAGCATCATTGCACCTATTAATTATTATACACATCGAACTTTTCCTCGTCATCCTTTTCATATTCATTCCCTGCATGTCACACTCAACTTTTTTCATTATTCATATCTACAAAAAATGAGAAAATAAAATAATAGTTAGATCATATTTTCGTGTATACGATAAATCAACATAAATCAAAAAAATTGTACATATGCGCATTGAAATACACAATATATATATAAAACAATATTAGATATATTTTAATCTAATGATAATAGACAATTGTATAAATGTACACGAAAAAATGATCTTTAAAAAACAAAAGTAGTGCAGAAAAAAAAATTACGAACTTGGATGATCGAAGGATTTCTTTTTCTTTTCTGAATGGAGATGGGTGAAGAGCATGAATGTAATAGGTTGGATATTTTATAGGTGGATAGAATACTTTGAAAATGTAAATATAATATAATATAAGAAAATATATTAATTATAGCAAATTATTGGTTAAAATATGAAATTAATATCTTTGTAATTGAATGAAATCAATTGCTTCTGATTTTCTTGTCGGAATTGGAAGAAAGGGATCAACACATTTTTTTATTTTATTGATTTAGGAAATTTGCACATTTTAATGTACACAAACAAATACGCACATATATTAAGGAATGGATTTATCACACTTTAATATGATTACTCAAAATACTTTAATATATATTTTTTTTATTCGAGATAATATACTTTAATATTATTACACTTGAATATGATTACTCAATGTACATAAACTAATACGCACATATATTAAGTTTTTCATTACCAAAAAAAAATATATACATTAAGTTGCACACAATTATTAAGGAAGGAAAATAAAATGTATTTATACAGTCAATCTTTTCCATTGATAAGTCAATATGCAATTAATGATAATAAATTCAATCAATCAATACAGATTATCAATATTATGGATATTTGTCACTTTTAATTAATTGATAAAAATTTGAATGGATGATATATATGTCCATATAAATATATTATTGATATGATATAAATTTATATGAAAATGATTGACAAAATCAGTGCACGTTCCATTATATACGTGATTGATATATGACCATATAAATTCATGATTCAGATAATACAAATATGTAGGGAAATGATTTATAAATTCAACGCACATCCGGTTCCTTGACTTTAATCCGGATTGAAAATTTTAAATTATATTTGAATTTTTCGAAATTTTCAAAATATATAAATTTACAATATTATAATTTACTACTAACAATAATTATATATTTCATAATATATATTAATTAATTTTAGATATATTTGATTTATAATTTTAATTACAATATTTTGCACACGGCCGTTTATAATACGCTTAACGATATTTTTTCAATAATATTTAAATATTTGAAAAAAACTAAGATAGAAATTAACATTATAAAATTAAATAAAATATTATAAAAAAAAAATATAAGAATCATAAATTTATTCAAATGCACTAAAAAGAATCATTGATGCTATAAATTCTTTTTTTATATATAATATATAGATATATATAGATCATCGTCTTAATATGATAATCTATTAATAAAAGAAAAAATATTATAAATTAATCGAGTATAATTGTTTGAACGTATAATAGAAATACACAATTTCAAATTACTATTATCAAAAAATATTGTATATTTATTAAGCAATAATACAATATAAAAATAAAACATTTTCGTTAATAATTTTTTTTAATGAATGGATACTCGAATATTCCAAAATATTGAAAATTAAAAAAAAAATGTATTCCTTTAATTTAATATTTGAATATTAAAAAAAATGTTTTTTTTCTGAAAATTATTTGAATATTTATAAAAAAATTGAGTTTCATGAATTTTTTTCAATAAATATATTTTGAAATACTGAAAATATAAATAAGATTTTTTTATTTCGAATTTATAAAATATTAACTTTGGAAATAATATATATGCATGTGGTAATTATTAAATGATTGTGTAAATGTAAAATAGGAAAGAACTTAAAAACATCCATAAATAAAAATGCCACCTAATCAATTGAAGAATCCACCTAATCAATTGAACTCCAACTAAGCAATTTTGACAAATGACATCATCAATTGCCACATGTCAATCATTGAGAGCATAGATTCTCTTTTTATATTATATATAGATTTTAGAATAAAAAAAATCGAATTTCTTTAATCTTTTAATTTCAAATTTTTACAGTTCCATTTTTTTTTAATGTAATTGCAATCAGTTTTTCACTTTAAAAAAAATGAATGTTATGCCACTGTTAATTTCGATCCGATTCGTCCAATTTTTTCAGGGAAGGTAGGGCCCGTTAAATGAAAGTCGAACTCTCTTCTTGCATCAAAATATTGCATAATTTTTCGATTAATATGTTTTTCTAAGAAGGCACTTTGTTTTATATTCAACATTGAAATGTATACTTAGTCCATTTTATAAAATGTTTGATCAAAATATAATCCACTTTTTTATTCATTTATACATAAATAAAAAAAGAAAAAAAACGGAAAAAATCAATTTAATCCTTCTATTAACAAGGAAGATGACGGGTATTAACCGTATCACAAATGCTATACCGAATGAAATGCACCCGGATCATATGTACACACATGCATATATTAGATTCGTACATGCGCGGATATCGAGACACGAACTTCACCAAATATAACATAGAATAAACCGTATAAAATGATTTACCCTATAATAAATTACAATTATAAATCAAGAGATGTACTTTCCTAAAACAAAAAATTAACATCTCCAATAAATCAAGTAATCTACACAAATCAAATTAAAGGACTTTCATTCAATATATAAAGATTTGCATAAGGCATATGATCTTTTCTTTTACATAAATAAAATAAAATATAAATAAAATAAAATAAAATAAACTCTTTCACATATTATTATTAAACTTAATCCATTGGTAACACCATCTCTAATATCCACTGTAACTGCTATAAATTCCAAAAACAGCACCAAATTTCAGTCAAAATATCCATTTCTAAAAGTTTAATTAAAAAAAAAAAAAAAACCACTCCATCTCGATTTCTACTTAATTTTCCTTTCTCGAATTAGCCCGATAAAAATTGGCCATCTTTAATGTCACTCGGCCTCAAAGACGCAAATTCTCCATCAAGTTTATGAGGCAAGAAAGTGCTTATCCCGTTTGGGAAGAAAACTCGTTCCGACGAAGCTCCAATTCCCTCCGGAAATCTCAGATTACCGCAATCATTATTCATCCTCATTTGCACTTTACTATTATCCACAAACATATTCGATCCGTTTCCCATCTTTTGGTGTACGGGAATTGGAAATCCAACCGGCAAACTTCCTCCCGCCTGAGAGAAGTTCTGTCCTAACAATCCCACACTTCTGTGATAAATGTCCGAAAATCTTCCGAACAACCGTTCTTCTGTCTGCAACTTCCCGTTTTCGATATCCGAACAAACAAGATTATTCCTCTGCGGTTTTGAAACGACCGTAGGTAAAGTCAAGTACGGCGAAGAAACCACTTGATCAGAAGAAGAACCGTTCCCTAAATTCATACGGGGATTTGCAGATTGTCGTAATATGTCGCCATCCGTAGATTTACGTGCATGGGATGCCACGTGGCTTATCACAATCTTGTCGGTTGGTTTCGCGCTCGTTTTTGTTCGATTTTTAGATGGCACTTTTTTCTTGATTGGGTTCAGATTCGACGACTTGGAAGAAGCAACCAACTTCGCCATTTCTTGTCTCATTCGAGCAAACATGTTTTCTCGATCGACTTTGAGTTCTTGAATTAAGGAATCGCCGAAGATCTTGAGATCTTTAAACATCACCACGCCTTCGTTAGTGGCGGCGTTGAGGGTTTTTTTCCTCTTCCCCTTTGGTTTCTTCTTCGGCACGCTTTTCGATTTGATTTTCGTTCCGGAAGGTTCCACAGGCTTCGGCTCGCTTTTCGATTTGATTTTCGTCCCCGAAGGTTCCACAGGCTTCGGCTCGCTTTTCGATTTGATTTTCTTTCCGGAAGGTTCCACAAACTTCGGCTCGGCGGTGTTGCGCATCTGGCTTTGTGGGGTGTCGGTTTTTTCGTCTTTGTCTTCGAGCAAAATTAAATCTTTTGAATTTGATTTCGACTCGTCGCTCGAAGTGTCTGCATCGACCTCCCGCCTTCTGAATTCCCATCTCTGATGAAACTTGTCGTCGTTGTTCGTCATCGAAAACGCACCTAATTGACTAAACAAGAAACTCAAGTATATGAATGCACCACCTCTCCTTTTCTCTCTCTTTCTCTCTCTCTCTTATCAATCATCAATGTTGATAAACACACCTCACTGCATCACCTCTCTTTAAATCATCACGTGCTACAAATGAAAGTGTCCAGAAAAAAAAAAAAAACAGAGTTAATGTTGTTGTTCCTGTAATAGAAGAATCTTGAAATTCGGACATGGATAAATTGTCATAATCATAAAATAATTCCAATCATCTTTATGAAAAAATTAAATCAGATTTGCAAACCCTAATTAAGGTAACATGATATACATTTCTGTGTGTGTGTGTGTGTGTGTGTGTGTGTGAGAGAGAGAGAGAGAGAGAGAGCGAGAGAGAGAGAGAGAGAGAGAGAGAGAGAGAGAGAGAGATTTCAAATGCCCCAAAAAAAAAATTCCAACTTCAAAAATCCCTCAAATGTATCTGATTAGCAGCGAGACACATAAGTACAACCTCAAT